TTTTTTTTGGGGGGGGGGTCCGGTTGTGGGGCCTGAACTCTGGGCCTGAGCACTGTCCCTCAGCTCTTCAGCTCAAGGCTAGTGCCCTACCACTTGAGCCACAGTGCCACTTCCGGCTTTTTTCATTTTGCTTATGTGGTGCTGAGGAATCGAAGCCAGGGCCTCAGGCATGCAAGGCAAGCGCTCTACCACTGAGCCAACTTCTCAGCCCTCCTTACTCTTTTATGGAAATTTTCTTCATTATGTTATTTTCAGCCTTCTTTTTCTTTTTCTTGGTTGCCAGTCCTGGGGCTTGAACTCAGAGCCTGGGCAATGTACCTGAGTTGCTTTTGTTCAAGGGTAGCACTCTAGCACTTGAGCCACAGCACTGCTTCTGGCTTTTTCTGTTTAGGTAGGACAAGTTTATTTAGAAAAAAATTTTTCCCCTGGGTGCCGGTGGCTCACACCTGTAATCCTAGCTAGGTTCAAAGCTAGCCCAGGCAGGAACATCCATTAGACTCTTATCTCCAATAAACCATCAGAAAACCCAAAGTGGTGCTGTGGCGCAAGCGGTAGAGCACTAGCTTTAACAATTTATTTTTTTGGGGGGGTCCAGTCATGGGGCCTGAACTCTGGGCCTGGGTGCTGTCCCTTAGCTCTTCAGCTCAAGGCTAGCGTTCTACCACTTGAGCCATAGCGCCACTTCGGGCTTTTTTCTCTTTGCTTATGTGGTACTGAGGAATCAAACCCAGGGCCTCAGGCATGCAAGGCAAGCGCTCTACCACTGAGCCACCTTCTCAGCCCTAGAGCACTAGCTTTAAGCTGAAGAGACAGTTCCCAGGCCCAGAGCTCAAGGCCCATGACAAAAAAATATATATATATATATATTTTTTTGTCAGTCGTGGGGCCTGAACCCTGGGCCTAAGCGCTGTCCCTCAGCTCTTCAGCTCAAGGCTAACACTCTACTGCTTGAGCCACAGCGCCACTTCCAGTTTTCTAGTGGTTTATTGGAGATAAGAGTCTCAGGGATGTTCCTGCCAGGGCTGGCTTTGAACCTCGATTCTCAGATCTCAGCCATGAGTAGCTAGGATTACAGGCGTGAGCCACTGGTGCCCAGCTTGTTAGGCCGTTTTTTTTTTTCTTTTGTCAGTACATAGGTTTGAATTCAGGGTCTGTACTTATTTGGCTTGCTTGCTCAGCTAGAACTACCACCTGAGCCACATCTCCAGTTGTACATTTTTTGCTGCTTAATTGGAGATGGTATCGCTAGGACTTTTCTGCCCAAGTTGGCTTTGAACTTTGATCTGTTGGATCTCAGCCTCCTCATGAGAAACTAACTTTAAAAAAAGTCTTAGGGACTGGGAAGGTGGCTCAGTGGTAAAGTGCTTGCCTTGCATGCATGAGGTCCTGGATTCAATTCCTCAGCACCACATAAGCAGATAAAGGTGGAAGTGGCGCTGTGGCTCAAGTGGTAGAGTGCTAGCCTTGAGCTAAAGTGCTCAGGGACAGCGCCCAGTCCCAGAGTTCAAGCCCCATGACTGACCACAAAAAAAAAAAAAGTCTTAAATACTAAAGGAAGATTTATATTATTGTGGGGTTTTTCTTTAGTTTGAAAAACTAAAATTTTAATTCTTTTTATTATTTGTCTTTTATTATGGTGCACAACTTTATACCATAAACCTGCACAGTAATGCTATTTTATATTGATTTTTCCATATTAGACATGAAGTTGTCAATCATAATTAGCTGTGAAATTCCTGAAAACAAAACTGCTTTTTTCATTTCATCTCTTTAGAGTTCATTCACCAAATTCCAGTATGTCCATATCCTTACTTGGGTAAGACATGATGGTCAACAAGGATGAGGGTGAGGTGGCCCGCCTGATGCAAAGCATGGAGGTCAATCTCATCCCGAAAAATCAAGACTGTCTCGGGAATGTGAACCTTCTGAAGAAAGAAGATGTTGTCGCCTCGCAGAGGTAGCTCAGAACGTTTTATATTTAAAACTGGTATAAAGATTTCCTCAGCTTCAGTTGTCTGGATCGTGAAAAGAAGGAATGAAAATGTTTTAGAATACACAGGAGGACATCACAAGCCTGGGCTGGAGAATATAGCTCAATTAACAAGACTACTGAGACCCAAGGAGACATACATGATCCTGGGTAAGTTACCATCTTCCCCAAGCCACAATTACCCAGTCTATGAAAATAAAAGGATTGTTTTTTTTTTTTTCTTTTACCTTTTTTACTGGGAATTGAGGCCAACAAAGAATGGAGTTCATGCCACGTATGGACTCTGACAGACTTACACTAAACCTTCACTCTTGGTTCCAAAGGGATCTCAAGCCCCTTCCCTCTTACAGTAGCATGGAAAAGACCTAGTTATAGAAGTGCTGCTGCAGAGAAAGGATTAGGAGAGCTTAAGAACTAACCGGGAGCTGAGCACCAATGGCTCACACCAGTTATCCTAGCTACTTAGGAAGCTAAGATCTGAGGTTCTAAGCCAGCACAGGCAAAGAAATCTGAGACTCTTATCTCCAATTAACCAGCAAAAAGCTGGAAATGGAGGTATGGCAACTGGTAAAGTGCCAGCCTTGATCAAAAAAAGCTAAGTGCTCAAGGCCTTGAGTCTAAGCCTAAGTACAGGCAGGAAAGCGGACTTGACAGAAGAAATACATACTGGATCACTGAAATTCAATGATAATTAGTTCAAATATTGCTTTATGACTTACAAATATCTCTCAAAACATATCTATTCATTTGGCCTTCACAACAACACTGTAAAATATCGTCTTCTCAGATAGTGATATGAGATTCAGCAGTCAAGGGATTTAATTTACCCACTGTAAGTGGCAGAGTTGGGTCTTGAATTCAAATCTATTCATTCTAAGGGATTATTTAGGTACTCACCTTTGTCATGTAAAATGCCAGGGCGAGAGCAGATACCATGGAGTCCAAGTCACAGGCTTCATTTCCCAATACAACATGTAGAGGCCGGGACTCCTGGAGAGGAGGAAGGGGAAACTGCCAAAGTGGTCTCTTCACTTCCATTCACCTTATACTCACCAGGCCTTCACTCTCATCCTCTCACTGATCTTCACAGAGGAAGTGGGATAATCTTATTGTTCCTTACATCGTGGATGAGGGTTTTAGCAGATAGGACCTCAGAGTTTTAGTTGAGCTGCATGCACTCCACACACATTCAGTTGGTGGAAAAGTGCTTTTTCCCTAAGTAGTCTCTGAATATTATCTTACAGGACAGTAAACAACGATCTAATTTCTTATGCCTCTTTAGGCACTCAATAGTCAAAAGTACCATATGGGGAGTTGGTAAATTCAAGTCATACTCTTGAACTATCAACTCTGGTTATTGTCCCAATCTACTACCCTCATTTTCAAACCAGGGATAACGATCCTTACATTCTAAACCATTGGACTAGGCTGGGAAGGTGGCTTAGTGGTAGAGGGCTTGCCTAGCATGCATGAAGCCCTGGATTCGATTCCTCAGTACCACATAAACAGAAAAAGCCGGAAGTGCTATGAGTGCTGTTTCAGGCCAGGTGCTTGGTGGCTCACACCTGTAATTCCAGCTACTCAAGAGGCAGAGATCTGATGATCCAGGTTTGAAACCAGACCAGGCAGGAAAGTCTATGACACTCTTATTTTCAATAAGCTATTCAGAAAAAGCCCAAAGTGGCACTGTGACTCCAGTACTACAGCACTAGCCTTGAGCAAAAGAAGCTCAGGGACAGCCCATGCCCAGAGTTCAAGCCCCAGGAATGGGGCTTGATAATAAATAATAATAATAGCCAGGCGCTGGTGGCTCACGCCTGTAATCCTAGCTACTCAGGAGGCTGAGATCTGAGGATCTCGGTTCAAAGCCAGCCCGGGCAGGAAAGACCGTGAGACTCCTATCTCCAATAAACCACCAGAAAACTGGAAGTGGCGCTGTAGCTCAAGTGGTAGAGCGCTCGCCTTGAGCTGAAGAG